GGGCAGGTTGGGGCGGCCGGGGAAACGGAGGCCACGGGAGGGACGAGCCGCCAGGAGGCCTCACGAACAGGGGTCCCAGTCCTAATGGTGACCCAGGGGGGCGGAGCCGCGCGCGCAAACTCGGGAGGCGGAGCAGCTACAAAACGAGGCCACGTTTATTGCTGAGAACGGGAGCGGGGCCGCCTTGGGGTTAAGGCCACGGCCGGTCCCTGTGCTGCCGGAACCGGGGCTCGGACGGCTGGGTTCCCCGCCCCAGGCTCTGCAGAAAGTGCTGTGCAGTCCCGGGCCCGGGCTGGGATTCCGGATGCCCCTCTGCCGGCGAGGGGCGGGACTTCCGGGAGTGACTCCGCCCGCCAATCCCTGAGCTGGGTGGGGGTGAGGTACCGCCCACCCCGAGTGCCAGCTGACAGCTTCGCTGGCTCCTGGGCGGGGCCTCCGCTGGGGCGGAGCCTTGCTGGGGGCGGGGCCCGCGCTGGGACGGGCAGGTGGTCACCCCTCCTCCTCGGGTTTGTACTCGGTCTCCCCAGAGGACACCTGCGAGATGCGCCGCGAGGACCCCCAGAGTTTCCGAGCGAACTGGCTGCTGCGCACCTGGTGGGAGGAGCGGTGCGTCAGCTAAGACCATCACTCCCCGCCCCATGCGAGCCCCGCTCCCGCCCTTGTCCTCACCTTAGCGGGCTGCCCCGCGCCCACCACGATAAGCTTGCCATCCTCCAGGCCCACCAGCACGTGGCTGCGCTCCTTGGTCACCGCCATGCTGCGGATGGGCACCTTCATGGGCAGGGGAGGCGCAGCCGGAAGCAGTCTGCAGGGAGGGAAGGCGGGGATACACGAACTCGGAACGGCAAGGCAGCTTTCACCCAGCAGACTCCCCAGTCTCCTAAAGGCCCTGTTTGCCCTCTGCAGGATGGCGCGACTGAAACCCTGATTCGTGAAGAGGTCTCCCAATGATGTGTGGCTGAGAGGCCAAGGGCGAGATCTCCCTAGCAGGGGCGGGGAGTCAGGGACGGGACTTGCAGGACGTGCCCGTGAGCATGCGAAGAGGGTGTGGGTCCACGGGGGGCACCTCCTGGTTCCTCTGCCAATGGCCACCACCCTGAGGGACCATGAACCCATAGCCAGTGGGGCTCACTTGTTCAGGTGGAGGATGTGCAGGGCACACTGGGCTGTGCCCAGCAGAACGAAGTCTTCCGTCACCGCCAGGGCGGTGGGCTGCTCCACCAGGGGCAGGGACGCCCGCAGCCGCCCGTTCACTGAGTACAGGTGCAAGGAGTAGGTGACCTGGGAGAAGCAGGAGGTGTCAGCAAGCACAGAATCCCAACCACCCCGTCCTGACCAGGTGCCCCCTTCCCATACCTGAGCCCCCAGACGTTCCCACGCCGAGCTCTGCACCACGATCTGGCCCTCAGATCCCAGCGCCAGGTGGGACACAGGTCCGGGCGGCATGGCGCCTGGGGGCCGTAGTGCTGCTACGAACTGGCCACGGCGTACGGTGTGGATGATCACAGCTCCGTCCTGCAGGAAGGCAGTTCAGGGTGCTGGGCAGGGGCTCTGGGCCCCAGAGGCAGTGCCCAGCCATCGCCCCCCGCCCCGGGCGCAGGCATACACAGACCTCCGATCCGGACACAGCCATGTCCAGTTCCGTGCTGATGGCCACACAGCTCACGGCAGCTTCGTGCCCGTAGAGGACCTGTATGGGCTTCGATGCCAGTCCCACCGAGAGACCACCCTGTAGGAATCCAGGGCTGTCTCAGGCCTGGGGGCACCCCATTATCCCGGCCCCTGAACAGGGAAGCTACGGCTCAGGAGCGTGAGGGGACGGGGTGAAGCCGGAGAGCTAGAGGGCCGTGGAGGAGAGGGGACGAGAGGAGCAGGACCGGAAGCCTGCTGAGGGGCGGGCGGGCGGCAGGTCTGACTACGGGGGCCCCACCGAGCTGCCCACCGGCACACCTGGTACAGGAGCTGCCACACCATGCAGGTGGTGTCCCGGGAGCCTGAGATGAGGTAGATGCCACACGTGTCCAGTGCCAGGCAGGTCACTATGTCTGCGTGGGGAGGGGAGGTCCGAGTAGAACAGAGTCGTCACGCCGCTCACGGCCAGCCTCTGGTACGCGCCCCGCCCGCGCCACCCCAGCCTCAGGGTGCTCATACCAAGGTGGCGGTTGATCTGGCTCAGCAGCTTGCCCCGCGGCAGCGCGGTCACACAGAGGCTGCCGTCCCAGTGGCCACCGCTGAACAGCAGCTTTCCGTCGGGGGCCACGGCCAGGGCTTGCCCACTCACGCCACTGCCCGGCACCCAGGGGCCACTCAGCAGCCGCTGCCCCCTGACCAAGGACGAGAGTGACAGGTGAGGCCGGGATACCGAGGCCCTCGGGGTCCTTGGCAGACCAGCGGCTGGCCAGCACTCTGCTTGGTGGGGACCCCCCGCCGTAGCCCTCTCACTTGGTGGAGTCTTTGATGAACCTGAAGTAGTTGCTTATGTTGCGATCATAGGGCAACCAGCTGTGGGTGCCCAGCAGTCCGTTGGCACTCACGGTCACCTGCGAGCAAGGGGAGCAGAGGCAGGTTTGGGGTGCAGTCAGAGAGGGAGCGGGGCTGGTGGCATCCTGCCCAGCGCACTTACCAGCAGGTCTGGGGTCATGGAGGAGTGAAGCTGCCGGTGGGGAACCATGGCCAGCACCAGGGGCACACCGTCGCTGATGAGCTGCGGGTCGAGGGAGGCCGGCTGTGTCCGAGAGGCCAGCCAGCGCCCCACTACACCACCTGCTCCCTGGGCACCACTGCCTCGTTGACTCTCCGCCCCCAGAGGCCCCAGGTCCCACTGGGAAACACGTGTGAGACCAGTGGGTCTTCAGGGGGCACCTCAGAAAGTGAGTGAGAAGCTGGGGTGGACAGGGCCTCATGCTTGGTCCACCCACCCCATTACTCCATGTCCCCCAGCCTGCGGGCAGGAGAGGGCAGCCTAAGAAAGTCAGGCCCAGGGGCGTGCGAGACGCAGCAGGAAGGCGAGGGAGTGTCCATGGAGATGCCCTCCCTCCGGTCTCCCCGAGGCCCTCAGGGGTGGCTGCGTCCCTGCCTTTTCCTGTCCAGCTGCACTCCTACAGTCCTCTGGTTTCCCGAGGGGCCTGAGTGTCAGTGGCCCTGATGTCGGTCTCCCCGCTGCCCCATCAGGTTGGTAAAGGCAACAGCGGGTTGAGCTCATTTCCGAGAGGAGGAAGCGGAGGCCTCCTCACCTCCGCAAAGAAGGCCCTGAGCTGGTCCAGGTGCTGGAAGATGCTGGGCGAGCTCGTGTCCAGACGTGCGAGGCGCTGGGCTGCTTCCTCCGCGGAGAGCCGGGCTGGATGCGGCTCCTGCGGGCGGGCGAGTGGCCAGTGAGCGCCGTGGCCTGGACGTTCCTGCCCACGGCCTCCGCGCTGGCCTTACCTTCAGCAGCTGGCAGGGAGTCTGCCCGAAGTTGCTGATAATGCCCTCCAGGGCCTTCCGTTCCCGCTCGTCGGTCACCTGGTCCAGATCCACAGCCCCTGGGCGGGCAGACCAAGCAGTCAGGACTCCGTGCCCTCTGCCTCCCCCCTTCCTCCTCCGTGCCCAGCCTCCACGTGAGCCCAGGGTCTGCCCACCCTCATAGGTGCAGTAATAGAAGATGTTGAGGGCCTCCTCCGCGGCCGGGCCCCGCTGCTTGTAGCCAAAGATGAGGTCAATCCATTCATGCAAGTGGGTGGACACATATTCCGACTCCTGAGGATGGACGGGGAGGGGCGGTCAGTCCAGGGACAGACAGCTGACCCCAAACCCTGACCTTCCACCCCGGCTGCCTGGCTGTATGACCCATGTCCTCACCAGGGCCTGGCGGTGCTGCTGGATGAAGTCCTCAGGGGATTTGGCCCACGGGGGCAGCACCACATCTCCTACCTTCTCATTGGTCAGCTGGAGGCAGCCCAGGTCAAAGCCTGGAACAGGGGACTGGTCAGCTGTCTTCACCCACTCCCGGCCCGCGTCTCCTTCCCCACTGCACCTGCTCCCCTCCTCCCCGCTGCCCACCTGTGTCTCTCCCACCCGCTCTCCTTCCCCACCACACCTGTTCTCCGTGGCCGCGTCTGCATCCCCACGCCAGCCCCTACCGTTCTGGTTCTCCAGGAAGTCGGGGAAGTAGAAGAATTCCGGGATGAGCTCCTTCACGTCAGCCAGGCTGTCCAGGCGGGCCTGCCAGGCCGCCGCCACCGAGTGGAACTGCCGGTCAGAGCAGTCAAAGCTGGTGGAGATTTTTTTTTCCGGCCTCCCTGCAGCTGGACGTGCAGGGAGGTGAAGGGTTCCATGCGGATGAGGTAGTGCATCACGCCTGCTGCGTTGGAATAGTGGGTGCCATAGTGGAACTTGTCAATGGTGCCCGCTGGGTCCTCGAAGCTCTCATACCTGGAGTCACAATTGGGGGGTCAGCAGAAGCACCTCCCGTGGCCCGTCCCGCCCTCCGAGCCCAGCCCTGCCCACATGCTCACTTCTCCCTCACGAGCTGGGCATGCTTGGGGTTCACCACACCGATGGGCTTGGACAGGTCCCGGAAGACAGCCGGGTTGCTGAGGTCCAGGGTTGGGGACACGTAGTCCTGCAGGACCCAGGGGAACTGGCCGCCCACCCGGGCAGGAGCCGCATGAGGGTCCTGATGGCCTACCTGCCCGCTCTGCCCTGCCCTCATCCTCAGGAAGATGGGCAGAGCCCCCAGGTGGGGACCCACTAGGAGAGGCCACAGGGGAGCGGGACGGACTGCCTGGGACAGAGCACCTTTCACGGAAAACAGGCCAGGAGGGGACCAGAGTGGGGCTGGGTATGTGTGTGTGTGTGTGTGTGTGTGGGGGCGGTGACAAGAACAGAGGCCAGGGCTTAGGCAACACCGGCCTAGGACAAGGCTCAGGGTGAGGCCCCCCATCAGTGCCTACACTTGGGTGAACCGGGCCGACAGAGGGGCGGGTGAGGTATGGAGCGGGCTCTCACCACAGGGTACTGAGACAAGTCGTTGTACGTCCGCCCGGCGATGGTGTTGAGTTGCATCAGATACTCGAAGTTGGATATCTCCCGCTGCACCCATTTCTGGGGGGGCAGGGCAGGCAGGAGGTGAGCCCGTGGAGATGTCCAGCCACCACAGGGCCGTGCCCTCCCCCACCCCTCACAGCCCAGGGCTCCCACCTGGGTCAGGCCCGAGGCGCGCAGCATCTCCTGCGGGGAGCGGCTGCTCAGGTAGCCTTGGGTAGGCGGCCGCAGACGCAGGAGCCACTTGTAGACCTGGTTGCGCATCTGGGTGTGGGGCGGGATGGAGCCGGGCTGGGGCCTGGGGGCCTGGCAGGGAGCGGAGCCTGCAGTCCCACCCACCCTGCACGGGAAGTTGAGGAAGTAGTTGGCCTGATCGATGAAGAAGAGCTCCAGCGCTGAGCGGCGCAGGTTGAAGCGCCGCAGGTAGACCTCACGCAGCTGGGCCAGCGGCCGCCGGAAGTCGTGGCCGACGCCTGCGAGGACGGACAGCAGGTGCAGGAGCCACTCAGCCTGCCCCAGCGGACCGCCCCCCGCCCTCGCTCCACACAGCTCCACCAGACGCACCCTCCTCCGTTTCCACGCGCTCGGCGCTGCCGTCGTAGAAGTAGATGTGCTGCGTGGTGACCTCCAGCAGCCCCGGGACCACAGCCACCACCGTGACCAGCTGGCACTCGGCCGACAGCACCAGCTTCTCATGCTGCTCGTCCAGTTCCACCGCCTCCATCCTGCGGGTCAGCACCCACTTCAGGCTCTGGGCTCTGGGGCCCCTTCCCACAAGCCCAGGAGCCATCAAGTCAGAGGGGAGGGAGGAGCTTCTCAGGGTCCAGACTGGCCCCCCATCCTGCCCCTGGGTCTCTGAATGTCTTGCCAGGACACCAGCGCGTGTGCCCAGCCTCCCCTCACTCGGCCCCTGCCCACTCCCGTGGGCCCCTCCTAGGCTGGTCTGTGTTGCCTGCCCTGCTCTGGGTGCCTCGCCGTGAAAGAGCAGCACCTGTTCTGGGAGACACCTCTCGCCAGCCCCACCTGATTTGGGACGGTCCTTCAGGGTGTTTGGAGGGAATGGACTCAGGGCCAAACCCCCGCAGGCAAGTACCCCGCGCAGACGCCCGGCCCGTGGGCTCTCCCGGCCCCACTCACGCCGTCTCCAGGGAGGCCGGCTCCTCCTCGCCCAGCGGGTCTTCCGGCAGCTCCTCGGGCACGGAGTTGACTTTGGCCTCTTTGGTTACCGCCAGAGGCAGCGCCGCCTCCTCGGTGGGTGTTAGGGGGGCCTCGCCTGCAACAGGCACACGGGTGTTCAGCCAGAAATGGACCGGGCAGCATGTGGGGTCGGGCGGGCCCAACTGGCGCACCCTCTCACCTAGGTTGTCGCGGAGGGCGCTGGCTTCCAGGTGAGCGTTGAAGTGATGGTTGGGCACCAGCTTCAGGCGCATGCGTGAGTATGTCTCGGCCCTGGACATCTTCCACCGGGGCGTGGGCGGGTCCCTGCGGAGATGCCCCGTGGTTCCTCCCAGGCCCCACAAAGGCAGCCTGGCCCTCCAGGTCCCTTCCTCCCTCCCAATCC